GTTTAACGTCCTAAAACCACCATATAATTTCGACCAACTGGGGTTCTTTAACGTGCACCCAAATCTGATCCCACGGGCCTATGGGCCTACGGGCCTACAGCTATTTCGCTTCCATCGAAATGCAGCAGCCGCAGCTTAGATTCCATCCCGCGACCTGCGGTCAGCAGCCGAGTGCCTTAGCCGCTAAACCACCGCGGCGGGCTTTCCGAAAGAGCAATAACGATGTAATTTCACTTATAGTGAACCACCGCAGAACCATTCTTTAATAACAGGCAAGCGCTTCCTATGTGATAACACAATCTTATACGGTAACACCATACTGACCTGTTACAATTCACATCAAGTCATTCACCCTAGGGAAAAAAAATACTATGCATGTGTTCCTGTTTTCGGGGACTCTTAAACTGTCCAAGTACATGACTCTCTTTAAATGGGCATGTTTATCTTAATTTAAGTCGCCCTATATTACGAATGTATAGATCTCCAAGGTCCACGTGTCTATTAGAAGGGAGTCATATCTGGCAACTCAAGACTCACAAAAATTTGTCTAATGACTCTTCTAACAGCGAATCTAATAAAGCTGGCAGTAAGACGTCCGTTAAAAAACAGAACATCTGTTGCACCATTGCCATAGTAACCCCTACCTGTGCATGCCACCTGTGCATGCTAGAAATAGCCAAGCAGCCACCACGCCGAAGAGCAGCCACCACTGAGCCGTCGCCATGGTAACCGCCACAGTTTCCTGCACCATGGCTCAGGGACAGCGATTTCAACATATTCAGAATGGCAAGCTTTGCGCGTAGTCTGGATCCTCACGCCATCGTCTCTATTGGCTGCCACTTCTCCGGCCAAGGGCGCTGTATCCAATCGCTGCCAGCGTTCTGGTGCTAGAGCACGACGAGTTGAGGATCGACCACATTCGCGGTGACAAGCTTTGCGCAACATAGTGCAAATTTTCCGCATTTTTGTGTTGAATACGTATTGAATACGTAGAGTATACGAGCGCAACAGATAGTGATTGCCAGTCCGTACACTACAGAGCCACTTCCAGTCGGACATATACATCTAAAGCAAACTGCTTAAGAAGACAGTTCTTGTGGTTGTCCGTTCGTTTTCCTTTTTTTTAAAGTACGTACTGTTCGAGCTTTTTCTTGCTTTGGACCCGCCGAGTCGTAATGGCTCAGTTTTGCCTAGATGAATACAAGAAGTTGTTAAAGTAAAAGAGTTAATTACTCTACCAACGCTAGCGTCCCAATTATCTCTGTTGCTGGAGCGACCACCACAGACAGGCGTTGGTCTCAGATTCGATCCCAGGTACGGGGCGAATTTTCCTTCAGCTGAAAAGGTTGCCTTTCTCTGAAATTTTCATGACTTTTCCTGCGGCTTCGTGCTACAACTGAGTGCTGGTTAGTTATCTTACTTCCCTAACCCGCCCGCCACCTTGCTGGATGCCGTAGAACTCTTTTGTATGTTGTGGAGATGAACGGTAGAGGTTTAAATGGGAGGGGGAAGGAGGTATGTGAGGAAAAGACGGTAATAATTGAATTCTCCTCTGTTGCAGATATCCCATAACGTGGCCCCAAGGCACTCCTTTCACGGTAATGGAAAACGGCACCCGCGGAGGGGGGACAGCGGGAGGGTACATCCGAAACACGCGTCACAACATTCGTCATGGAGGTAATATGCACGGGACGAAAGCGATCGATGAAAGAACGTGCCAAGCCAAGAGAAATTAGCATGCATGAGCGAAACCTGTTCCAACATTCATGAAGCACTCGAATACTAGGAGTGAGGGGACAAAATATACGAGAGCCAAGGGAAGGCGAAACGAACAAACAGTCGTCAAGCGGTGCCAGAGATCTCACTCAGTTATGGCCGCCGCGGCTGGTGACCCAAATGCTCTCAGTGGTCCGTAGGAAGGGAGTGAGTGGGCCGGCTATAAACAAGCGATGCAGCAAAGCGACCGCGTGGGGAAAATACTATAGAAACAAAGCTGTCACCCGGCAAGAAGTGGCGACGCTAATGTGTCCATTAATAACGGCTCACTCTTTAGGGAGCTTCGCGAAAGTGGCACCACCGTTGGATGGTCTTGGCTGGATACCGCCGTTGCCTTCCCCTTCTTCGGTACCGGAGGGACCGTTTCCGGTGATGGGCAGCCCCATTCAGCGCCCGGTCGAATTCTGGGTCTCCATCGAGAAGAGCGTTGCAACTTAAGATAGAGACAACGTTACTGATTTCTTCGCGCCTCTTCCGCGTATATCCTCGTAGACCGTTCTTTTTGCGGACGGCTGTATCTCGGAGTGGAGAGAGCTGGTTCGCGTTATCGTTTTTCTCGGTGGTCACGGCTGTTCAAGTCGCTGCCGTCGTTAGCGACGTGATAAGTGTTTCCGACGTTTTCTGGATGGAAAAAGCTTTCGCAAGGCAACCTCGAAGACAATGGAAGACGTGCGAGGCTGTTCTGGCTGTCGAGTGGATCCCCGCCCGGTCGGACAATGAAATCGCTGTCGTCGTCACAGTGATGCGTGTGGCAAACCATGCCCTTCTCGAGGTCTAAACATCCTTTTCCCTCAAATGGGAACATCCTTTACCCTATGATAATAGAGATTGCGCCGGAATCATTTTTCATCGCGTACCAGCATTGCCAAGGGGAAAAAGCGTCATACTTACTCCATTTGTTCGACGCCTTTTTCTTTTTCCACATTACCCGCCTATAGCGTTAAGAGCGGCTGCCCGTACGTCATGTTAACCCCGCAGGATCGAGCAATGCCCGCGCATTCAGCAAGGCGAAATCAGTTCGACTGTTATCGCAAGAATCATTGTGTCATTGGGAGCAGAGCTGGGCAAGAACCAGCCAGCCGGCCGGGAGTACTTGGGCGTATTCCTTACATCATCCATGTGTTGGCACAGGCACGTCGATTACGTTACTGCAAGGGCATGTAAGGTGTTGGGTTTCTTGCGGCGTATCACAAAGCTGTTTACTCAGCAGGCCCGCGATCTTCTCTACAAGAGCTACGTCAGACCAATGTTAGAGTATGGGTGCACTGTGTGGGATGCTCCCACAAATGCCGATTGCGACAAGCTTGAGCGAGTTCAGAACATGGCTGCAAGATACGTTATCGGTAGCTGTGAGAGAAACCTTAGCATTACTGCTACAAAGGAAACATTAAAATGGGAACTTCTAGAAAAAAAACAAGGCAAATTTTGCGCTTGAAACTGTTTCACAATATATATCATGGCAACATTGGAATGGACCGTAATCAGTATATTCTTCAGCCCCATTATGTATCAAGGCGAACAGATCATGAGCTCAAGGTTAGAGAATATAGCTGCAGGACTAATCTTTTTAAAGGCACTTTTTTCCCCAAAGCTATTTCTGAATGGAATCGTCTGCCTGCTGACAAGGTCAGCATAATAGATAACGAAGCTTTTGCGGCCGCTCTTTGACATCTCATTCTGTCTTCAGCTGCAGTCGAATTTTATGCAGTGTTTAGTTCGTATCACATCGTTTTTGTATTCTTATGTTTGTACAGTATAAATTTCATTTTTGGTTTTTTTTTCTTCGTCTGGGTTAGCTGATCTTTTCATGTGTATTGACGACAATGTATGCCGCTACTTCTCCTTAGTTTTTCACTACCAATGGTCTAGAAATATATGATTCATAAATTCTCTGTGTAACCCCCCTCCCCCACTGTACTGCCTAAATGGCGCTGTGGGTACGAGTGTAAATAAATAAATAAAAAATAACACTGCGTTGGAATTCGGGATCTTAGGTAACACACCATCCAGAGGAACCTAATGCTTGGAAGCGATAGGAGAACGAGTGAGTGAATAGAGACAAACACGAAATCTGCTGTACATAGCGATGTCGACGAAAGGATTCGTACATACTGTCTAGTTACATTCCATACCAGATAAGGAAGTCCTGGCGCATTTTTTTTTTTTTTTTTGGTTGCCAGCAGTTAGTTTCCTGTCTTTCTATTCTGTGTTAAGGATTCGTGTTTGTTAGCTCGAGCTGATCTACTGCTAAAGCAGCAAGCGGGAGGTTACACTGATCTGGCGCAAACAGGGGGCCCCTCTTCTGCCTCAGAGAATTAGTGCTGGCGCCGCTCACAAACGATAATGTTACTTCCATACGCTCTCTTTTAAAGCACACGGAACCCTGCAGACTCACACAGCTGAACATGTAATCCACTTAGCCATGAACTTCGAGGTAGTTATGTTGTTGGTGCCGCTGTTGTTGAAGCAGCTGAGTTTTCTTTTTGCTATAACAAAGTTTACTTTTACCCGTCTACTCTTGCAGTGTTAATCAGATTGCGTTGTCGCTGCATTTGCATATCGTTCCGGCTTGTTACTTGTATCGTTGCTGTTTCGATGTGGCTGACCGATGAGACTAACAAATATCTTTTTTTTTTTTTGGAAAACGCACTCGTTTCACTCAAGTCGCACGTGCGAAATAGCAGCGTCAAAGTATCGGACGCCCAGTACTTGCCGAAAGCGCTCCAGTAATGAGGCATATAGCAAGCTAAAATACGGATTCGTTCTAACGAATGTACTTGTTGCGGGCACAACGCTGAAAACTGTGCAAGGCCACAGTGGCGTTGCTCACAGGTTTCGTGCACCAACCACCCCAATTATAGGCAAATAGAAAACACACGGGGGGGGGGGGGGCAGACGAAAAACAAACGACACACTGATATAGGCAGCTTACGTGCGTGTTATAAACCACGTTTTGCCAGGTGTTTTTGTAGACGTATGGGAGTATAGCTTTCGTCACCTTACGTGTGTTCTGTCTTTAGTGTCATATATGAAATAAAGCCCTTTTCTGTTATTCGCGACGTCACTGGATATGACCACAAGTTACTTCCGGCTTCCCCGGACGTCTTTTAGTTTTAATAACGATGAATGTATTGATTTAGTCGAATACTTCGTAGCAGATAATTATATAGCAATTTATCGAAAATAATACCCCAACATTTGTTTTGTTCTCGCTGTTCTTGCAGTGGCCGACTTCACGCAGCAACTCTCCAAGTTGCACTCCCGCCATGCCGAGGAACTGCAACTGCTCGTCGAGGCATTCCGGAAGCGGAACTCGGAATTACGGAAGGAACGGTAAGCACATCCTCTTATTCATATCTATGCACCTTGTTTACATACGCTAAAAACACACGGAAAAACATATCTTCCTATCGTCATGCAGTTGTTGGCATGCTCATTCCAACTAATTAGGTGACTAACAGTTTTTGACGGGTGCGAGAGGATGAATGCTTTTATGCTCTTGGGAGAACGAACGAGAGTTTGGCCTTCTGGGGGCCCAGTGCCGTTAATTAAGCCCAACAATACATATCGAAAGACATTGATGAATGTCCGGACGGGCTTAACTTGATCCCGAAAAACAAACGTTTCAGCAAGAGATTAAAATCATAGACGTCGAGAGACGTGCCTTATTGTAAAGTCGAAGAATGTAGTAGCAGCGTTAAGTCAGTGTGAATCTTTTTCTGAATGTCGAGAGAAGCTGCAGTAATAAACCATATTGTTTAAGCTCCAGGTGTGACTTCATGTCTGGTTCATAGAGAGAACAGAGGGAATAAGCATGAAAGTAGTGCAGGGAGGTTAACCATGACTGAGTCCGGTATGATTTATATCTGTGGTAATGACTACACTTTTTCCCAAGAATATTTTCTTTGTATCTTTTGACATGCCGACATTTCCAGGATTCATTTCGGTCTACCCTGCATTGGGGGAAAGAGAATATTCGGTCACTTGGTAGTGGTGTGTATAGCGTATCGTCACACCCATGACCCCGAACAAATAAATGACCAGGCAAAGCACCGAGCAGGCAAAGCACTGACGACATTAACGCCGCGGATTGGCGCCAGACAAGAACAACGATTTAGCCTACTTGTCCGCTGAGCAAGCGCAACTGTGACTTAAGGAGTGCATTTCTTTGCCAACACGTCAAAAGCGCCGAAGACGGAACAACTACGCAGCCTCGTATACTGTTGCCGAGAAAGAGCATGCCCCGAGCTTCCCCGGAATAGCGAAGGGTGCTATTGACACACCGTATGGAGCTTCTGCGGTAGCGAGAGCTCACCCGATCGACGAAAGCGTTACTATAGGCTGAAGAAACGTCAACACAACAAGCATACAGCCAAACGGATGACAAGCGGATAACATAAGACAGAGGACCCTCCTCGGGGAAAGACCAAAGCATACGCAGCAAGCCTTATCCTTTCCTGCCCCCGATCGCAATGCCGTGTAAGCCGTGAAAGGAAGACGCCGAGAATCGACGCCTGAGCGTTCGCCCGTGTCTCGTGGCACGCCCCGGTCATTGATGCGCGGGGCTGCCGACGTCATTGATGCGCGGGGCTGCCGACGTCACGATCCAATTACGTTTCCGATGCGGCGAGCAAGAAAAGGCGGTGGTAGTTGCAACGCTAGCAATATCAACAGTAGCCGAAGTGGCAGCGGCAAGCAGAAGAAGCAGCATCAGTTAGGAAAGGTGGATCGAACGTCTCGGATAAGTCATTTCTATGCGGCCATCTCGCGAGAGGAAAGAAAGACGCCTTTTCGCAATTAGGATTCACAAGTGTATACAAGGCTTTCGTGATGCCAGTAACGCAATCTTAAGACATGAGGAAGCATGCGGCTATGTCGTGGGTATAGGGACGGGAATAACACTCACTCACGACAAGCGGATCATTGTTGCATGAAATTGACGTTGTTATATTGTTTGTGCACACTGATTTGAAATTAACTATTTTGAGAAACTAAAACCATTATCGTAACTAGTTACACGACACCATGCGGGGCCTTTTCGCAAGATTCGAACTGCTGGAAGAGGAAGCACGCAAGCATAAACACAGGAGAGAAGTGCTGGAAGTGTTGAAGCTTCGGCGAGTTGGTCATCCATAAACTTGTATTAGCGAGGCCCATATACTAAATAAACGCGACACAGACGAACAAAAGAAGGCACCTACCATTTTTTTTTCAACTGTGCCATGTTCTTTCGTTCACGTGCCGCGCTTATACAAGTCAAGTACAGGAGAAAAGTCGGGACATCACGAACGACAGCTGACTACTGCAAAGGCGCACATCGACGGAAAAGAAAGTAGGCACAAAGAAATTTGTCTCCGCATGCCCGGGCGAGAGGCGATACATATATATCCGGCACTCGTTTGGGTTTTCGTGAAAAATAAGTGTTCAGGCATTTGACCTGTTCTTTATGAAAACTAATCGGTGGTCAATCGGCTTACGCATGCACTTCCGCTACTCATTTTTGGGAAAAAAATACTCGAAAAAAAAACCACAACTATCAAGCACGAAGTTTACAGGACGAGGCGCTCCTAGCAACTTGGCGTTTTTTTTTTTTTGCATAAATTTCAACCAACTCGCTCTACTGCTACTAATAAACATTGGCTTTTATGTCTCAGAACCACGATATAATTATTAAGGATGTCGTAGTGGAGAGATTCGGAAATTTCGACCATCTGGTGTATCTCAAAGACACGATAAATGCAAATGACAATTTATGTCAGAGTGAAAGGTCGATGTATGATAACGCCTAAAACAGCAATATTATCAACAACTGTGTCTTACTTACGAAATAATTAAGCTAATTGTACCACACTACGTCCGCAACGAGTGAGACATTTTTGTAATGATCCCGATAACGTAGTACATGAGAGCGTCCGACTACAACTTATTACTAGTAATCAAACTAGCTGCAATAAAGTAAGAACTTTCCACGCATCAACAGGCCTAATAAAGGCTGCTTGTCTTTTTCTGTTTGAATTATAGGGGATAGAACCGCCTGATGCTACTATGGGGAATGGCGTGAGTGGTTCAAAAGTTCGGTTTTCAGTTGAGAGAGAATAAAACATTTATTCGCGACCGAGGAAGGAGTGTCGGTGAGTGGGCTCCTTAGTGCGGGATCCCATTGGCACGGGCCGCTGTCCTCGCTCGTCTCACGAGGGCCTCGGTTAGGCTAGATAAGTAGTGCCACCTAGCGGGGCCCAGTGAAACCAAGCAAGCAGAACCCTGGCCTTCGAGATGGCGGAAATTGTTGAATGCCCGTAGTTGCTACACTCTAATGATCGAGTCTTTTTATCCCACAGCAATAATCATCATACACTCTAAATAGAATGAATATTCGGGAAGTAGTACTGCTACACAACAGTAATCGTCATCTGACTTGCTCGCGTTTCCTTTCTTGAGAAGCCGGCACTGGCCACTTTCCTGTCCGGAAAGCTATCTTACACTGATAACGCGCACGCTGATTGATTGATTTGTGGGGTTTAACGTCCCAAAACCACCATATGATTATGAGAGACGCCGTAGTGGAGGGCTCCGGGAATTTCGACCACCTGGGGTTCTTTAACGTGTACCCAAATATGAGCACATAGGCCTACAACATTTCCACCTCCATCGGAAATGCAGCAGCCGCAGCCGGGATTCGATCCCGCGACCTGTGGGTCAGCAGCCAAAGATAACGCGCACGCGGTTAGCGACCGCAACCTACCAGAATGTGGTGACAGCGCGAGGAAAGTACTCTAAGTAAGGGATATTTGATTGATATGTGGGATTTAACGTCCCAAAACCACCATATGAGTGTGAGAGAAGCCATAGTGGAGGGCTCTGGAAATTTTTACCACCTGGGGTTCTTAAACGTGAAGCCGAAATCTGAGCAAACGGGCCTACAGTTATTGCGCCACCATCGAAAATGCAGCCGCCGCAGCCGGGATTCAATCCCACACGCCAGTGGTTGTGAATTGTTGGCAAACTTAGCACCAAAGACACAGTGGGGCGCGAACCCGGGTCCGCTGGAGCCAGCCCAGTATTCTACCACTGAGCTACGCTGGTGCTTGTGACTTGGCAAACTTGCCTTACGCAGGCTTGAGGTCGGGAAAGCAATCGCGTTAATACGGCTTATAAAGCAGCTTTAAAATAGCGAAAAAAACAATCAGTCGTCGCACTAATGCGAATTGAGTAACGAGTTGGCCGTCGGATGCTGCAACCCTATTAGAAAAGCTTGTTCTTGTTCCCCTATTAACTGTGGCACATACCCACTTCAGCCATGATTCCTCATCGTCGTCAGCCACTGCATGCACAATTGGCACGAAATTCCGTGCACGTGTTTAGCGTATACCACGCTTGTCAGAAAAAAAAATGACGAAAAATATATATTGCGAACTGTCCGCCTACTACCCAAAAGTTTATTATTATTGCCCTAGTAGGTATCAAGCACGTGTGCTTGCAGTAGTTACCCAATGAGTGTTTAGAAAAGGCTCAGAAAGGTCGCTCTTCTTGCTTTCGCTGTGACTGCGCTGCGCCTTCTGCGCAGGCCTGGCGTTTTTTTTTTTTTTTTTTAGAGTTCACAGCTTGCCTGCGCTTCCTTTCTTGAAAACTCGGCGCTGGCCACTTTCTTATCGAGATTGTTATATCGCGCTGATAACGCACATGTCGTTCTAGTCAGAATTTTACCGGGCGCGCGGCGATAAATCAAGGAAAGGAGCGCGATAAAGATTATGAATATCGTTGTGGGACAAAACGCCACCCTTATTTACTCGATTTCCTCTTAAAGTGTACACTACTCTCGCTCTGCTGCTACTGGTGCCGGCGGCCGCGTAGTAAAGATAGCCAACGTTGGGCACGGAAACAGTGACATCCAAGAGCCTCCTTTAACGGCGGTGATTTGGAGAGTGCTAACGCGGTGCGAATTATTAAAATGCGATTTTATTTCAATATAAGCACTTCCTTAGCACCGAACTAGCACTACGAGGTTTTTATACTGCTATTTCAACAATCAACTTCGACCTAATATTTTTCTTTAGGGTCCCTTTAGGGTCCCTTTAGGGTCCACTAACATTGCACAGTATACATGGGCCTCTACCATGTCACCTCCATCTGAATTGAACCGCTTCGGCCTCCGGGATCGAACCTGCTACCTTAGGGTCAGCAGCCCAGCACCCTAGCCACTGAACCACCAAGGCGGACTATTTACTACTACTATTATAGACTTACCTTCTTTGTCCCGACTTCCCTCTTGTGTTCATGCCAGCACCATCTTTCAAAACAGTTACTTGACCAATTGTCTCTGCTATCTGTTACTC